ATTTACTCCCTCCGCGTTCCAGTGCATTATTTGAAGGCTAGCTGTATTTTCTGCTTTTCTGGTTCTACGGGCAATTAGGGGGAGGCTTCGAGTATTTGAAGCTGGACTCTTTCTTCTTGTTGTAGGCCGGTAAATCGAACCACGTGTACGTGAGTGGGTCACATGGTGGAAATCAAACTTATTTGCAGATATAGAAATATTCCCTGTTGCGTTTGTGCGTGGCATCCTGATTGCTGTGGTGCGCCTCCTGGCTGGTTGCCTCCGACTTCAGCACCTTGTTTTGCTAGAGTAGACTGGGGTCTTACCCGTGGACTCCCATGTTTATAATGGGAGCGTGGCTCCTACGCGGTTACATTATCGGAATTAGGACACGGCCGCCGCCGTGGCTATTTTGTGTAAATAATTCCGTTATAACATCCCTAAACCACATAATACTTGTATCCACGAACAAGAGAATATCCATCGTCAATGAATCAGTAATAATCGCACTCTGTTATCAAGAGAAAAACACCGATTAAGTGAAAATTTTTGAATAAAATCGTGTGTCGCCGCAAACACGTCTTCACGCTGCCATTTCTAAACCGGAAGTCGGCCTTGACCTAACCAAGACTGTCTCTGGAAATGGCCTTGACCTAACCAAGACTGTCTCTGGAAATGGCCTTGACCTAACCAAGACTGTCTCTGGAAACGGCCTTGACCTAAGCAAGACTGTCTCTGGACATGGCCTTGACCTAACCAAGACTGTCTCTGGAAATGGCCTTGACCTAACCAAGACTGTCTCTGGAAACGGCCTTGACCTAACCAAGACTGTCTCTGGATATGGCCTTGACCTAACCAAGACTGTCTCTAGAAACGGTCTTGACCTAACCACTATGGATGTTGACTTTTGAAGTATTTGTTGATAATTTTCATATTGTTTTAAAACAATATTCGTTTGCCTTTCTAAACATTTTAACACTTTCAAGTGACATTTGGAGAACTAGTAAAAGAAATAGAACTAAAGCTAAATACATTCGAAAACAAATATCTGAGCAAAATAAGAAGCATGCATTCAAAAGGAGTGAAGAAGTGTTTGGGTAACCACTAGTAACAACAGTTAAAAGACAGAGAAGATGGCGTTACATTGGACACCTCCTGAGAAGAAACCAGCAGAGAATCTCCAAACAGGCATTAAATGAGAAATACAGGGATTAAGGAGGCGAGGACACCCAAAAGAAACCCTAAGATGAACGTTAATGAGAGAGGCCAAAGCTGCTGGATTGGATTCCATCGATGACATTGAGCTGATTACACTATATAGAGCGGAAGGGAGGAATATACTACGAGCTCTTTGTGACACTTAATGACACAACTGGATAACAATCTGAACATTAATATAATAATGATTGTATACTTACGTGGAGGAGACAAGTCAAGAAGGGAATGAGAATACAGGAAGAAATGATTGCAGTAAGGAAGAAATGATTTGCAGTAAGGAAGAAATGATTGCAGAAAGGAAGAGAGTTGCACGTTTGAGAAAAAACAAACTAAATACAAATAATGACAACAATGGTCCCAACTGCTCAAATTGTGGAAGACTTTTCTTAACACCAGCGGGTCTTGCTAGTCGCACTCGCCATCGCTATGGACTACTGAGTCCCATGCCTCCTTTTAGCGCGATATATCACTGTCGTTTGCAAAGACGAAAAGATGCTAACTACATATTACACACTTACACAAGGCTTATATTCCTTGAGCATACCATCCCCCCCCCCCTTTTTTTCCTTGCTTTTACATCTTAGAAAATATGAAAAGAAGCTGAGCATTCACTCCCCAAGCATCCCAATGTTTTCTTTGTGTCGGCACGCATGATACACAGGCGAATGCTCATCAGTCAGTCAATCAGTCAATCAGGTGCCGTCCTCACAGTGAAGGGTGGCTACAATAGATCTTCAGCACTGCCTGTTTCTAACCCTGGTGGTACACTCTCACAGTAATGTTGGTCCATCCTTTGATGCTGTCCGCCCCCGTCCGTGTACATAACAGCCATTTCGTTGATATATTGATATCGTGTGCTGATGAAGGCTGTCTAGCCGCAATAGTCACCTGTCGTTTGTGATTGTGACACGGTGAAGCTGGTTAGTTGCACCTTCCATTTGGTTCACCTGCTGATTGCGCTGACAAAACATACTGTTTTGATAAAGGGCGGCAGAAGAAGTAGGAGAAATACAGGTGAAGAGAAATGTAGACAGAGGTGGAGAACGAGAAAAGGACAGAAGGGGTGGGAGAAAGAGAGGTCAAGAGAAAGGTAGACAGAGATGGAGAACTAGAAAAGGACACAGAAGGGGTGGGAGAAAGAGAGGTCAAGAGAAAGGTAGACACAGATGGAGAACTAGAAAAGGACACAGAAGGAGTGGGAGAAAGAGAGGTGAAGATAAAGGTAGACAGAGATGGAGAACTAGAAAAGGACACAGAAGTAGTGGGAGAAAGAGAGGTCAAGAGAAATGTAGACAGAGATGGAGAACTAGAAAAGGACTCAGAAGGAGTGGGAGAAAGAGAGGTCAAGAGAAAGGTAGACAGATGGAGAACGAGAAAAGGACACAGAAGGAGTGGGAGAAAGAGATCAAGAGAAAGGTAGACAGAGATGGAGAACGAAAAAAAAAAGGCAGAGATGGAGAACGAGAAAAAGGGCAGAGATGGAGAACAAGAAAAAAAAAGACGAACTAATTTTGTTTTCAAAAAGTTAACTAAGCACACAAAGCTTTCTATTAGTATTATAAGCGGAAAAACGAAAAAAGAGAATGAGTGACACACACAGATAGATAGGGGGAGAGAGAGAGACAGAGAGAGAGGGGGAGAGAAAGAGAAAGAGAGAGAGACGGAGAGAGAGGGGAAGAGAGAGGGAGAGAGAGAGGGGGAGAGAGAGGGGGAGAGATACGGAGAGAGAGAGGAAGAGAGAGAGGCGGAGAGAGAGACGGAGAGATAGAGAGAGAGGGGAGAGACGGAGAGAGAGGGGGAGAGATAAACGGAGAGAGAGAGAGAGAGGGGGGAGAGAGACAGAGGCGAAGAGAGAGAGGGAGAGATAGAGAGAGAGGGGAGAGAGAGTGAGAGGGAGAGAGAGATAGAGTCATAGGGGTTTTGTACATACATACATGCAGACTTTCTGATTTACTACAGCCTGACGATCATACAGACAAACCAACAAGAAGACACCTGAGAAAAACAGAATGCTGTTCCTGTGTTTACTAAAACTACAAAACTGAGCGGGTTTTCTTGAGTGTGGAGCAGTTAAAAAGTTGCAGTAATTAACGTTCGATCGTGGTAACTTTAAAGATAAACAAACGAAACAAACAGTGCCGAAATTACTTCACATGTCAGTTCTTATTTTGACAAGCCTCTCCTACTACATACAAATATGTGACTGCAGGCCTCTGGAAACGGAACAAACAAAAAAGTAACGAAATCTTGTTCTGTGCTTAGAGAAACAAAGTTTTTTTTTTCCTTCCCCTCTACACTTCACAAAAGATAAGATGAACAAAATACGTACAAGCGTTAGTTACGTGGGTGGTTACTATGGCTGCAAATTCAATTTACGGGAAGCTCACAGGACTGAAATTTAACACAGTGAATACTTATTTCTTTCTCTACCAGTGAACTCACAATTTGCATTTTGTTCATTTGTCACCCTTTGTATGGTCCAGATTTCTCTGCCACACTTTTGATATGTTTACCTCTTATATTGAAAGAGTCGGCACTTAACCATTTTAAGACGTGGTCAAACAAGCATAACTTTACAGCCGCTGAACTACTAGTAGTAGTAGTTGTAGTAGTAGTAGTTGTTGTTGTTGTTGTTGTTGTTGTTGTAGCAGCAGTAGTAGTTGAAGAAGAAGGAGAAGACGAAGAAGAAGAAGAAGAAGAAGAAGAAGAAGAAGAAGAAGAAGAAGAAGAAGAAGAAGAAGAAGCAGAAGCAGAAGCAGAAGAAGAAGAAGAAGAAGAAGAAGAAGAAGAAGAAGAAGAAGAAGAGGCAGCAGAAAATCGCGAAAACCCTGTTCAACACAAAACCGTGACCGAAGAATGATGGCGGTCTTTTTTTAATTTTTGAGTTAAATTGTCTTCGAGACCTCGCCTGTTTGAGAACATCCGAGTTACTCTTTGCTGTCCAAGGAATTCTGAGGATCATTCTGAAAACCCACATCTCTGAGGCCTCAAGATATTGTTTGGCATGTTTAATAACTATCCCGCATTCTTTACCACACAGGACAGTTACATTGTGGCACGAGTCATTGGTTACGAAGTAGTTGTAGCCTTTCGTGGGGTGGGTCTAAACACATGATCCTGCAGTCACTTGGAGGAGACAGATTCGATTCCCAGCATGGTCAAAATATATTTCCACATTACTTCTCCTTGTTGTCCGTGCGGTGTGGCGTTGGTAGTCATGTCTAACCACAACCTTCTGCCTCGCCTACTTTCAGTAATTTCTGACACAAATGATCTTCCATGTCATGATGTCAAAGTGTCCACATCTTCTCTCTCGGTCTTCCAGTGCCTCTTTAACCCCTCCAGCTTTCCTATCAGCACGGTGTCTTCCAGTTGTCTCTTTCTCGTGATATGAACACAGAATGTAGATTGTCTCTTTCTGATGTGGGCAATCAGTTCTCTACATGAGTCAGTTACTTTCAAGACATCTTCATTACTCTTGTTATCTGTTCCGGGTGTTCACACCATTCATGAATAAAACCACACCTCTGCAGCTTCCACGTAATTATTTTTATAAATCGGCCAGCTGCTCATGATTCACATCCTTATATCAGGATATGATTTAGATAGCTTTTGAGATTTCTCTTTCTAACCTCAGTTGACAATTGAAGATTGCGTACAGTATTTTATTTTGTTTGTAAAATGCTGTCATTGCTTGAGCTGATCTACATTTAACGTCTTCCATCACCTATCACAAACACCTCATATTTATCTACTTCTGTCTATGCGTGCCAATCAATACGTGTCAATTTGTTTATTATAAGGTGGGTGGACCGGAATGACCGCACGATTGGGGACACTGGACGCATCCATGTGCAGGGCAACAACCTGGTCTTTGAATCACCCCAGGAGGTGGACTCGGGCAACTACACCTTCGTGGCCAACAACACGTCCGGCGAGAAGAAACAGAGCGTCTGGGTCATTGTCTCAGGTAAGTCACTGGCTGCCTTGGTTGGGTGAATGATTGTCTCGCGTGGGTAAATGATTGTCTTGGCTGGAGGAGTGATTGCCTCGGGAGTGTGGGGTGAATGATTGCCTCGGGTGGGTGAATGATTGCCTCTGGTGGGTGAATGATTGCCTCGGGTGGGTGAATGTTTGTTCATTCGACGGATCAACATCAGGGCACACGGGTGCAACCCGTAAGTGCTCAGTTCTACTTCTAAGTTAAGCCTGAGTCTGAAGAGTCCCAGCGCAGTGCACAAACTCCGTTCAACCGGCGAGGATCCTGAAATACCTTGGGTAGATTTTTAACTCAAAACTTTTGCCCGGGCAGCGCCGTTAGGCTACTGTTTTCGATTTCTAACTGCCAAGGTATTTTTACGTGCGTAACAATACACACGGGCGTCCGATATTACTACCTAGAGACCAGGGAAAATTACTGGAAGTCCATGTGAAAAAATCCCAGCCTTCACCGATGTTTGAACCCGGGACCTCCAGCACTTAAGGATGACTTCATGCCTCGAGACCACTCAGCCCCAAATGATTGCCTCGGGTGAGTGATTGATTGCCTCGGGTGAGTGATTGATTGCCTCGGGTGAGTGATTGATTGCCTCGGGTGAGTGATTGATTGCCTCGGGTGAGTGATTGATTGCCTCGGGTGAGTGCTTGATTGCCTCGGGTGAGTGATTGATTGCCTCGGGTGAGTGATTGATTGCCTCGTGAGGAAAAATTATGCAGGTGAATGATTGCTTTGGATGAGTGAATGGTTTTTCTTGCGTGGGTGAATGATTGTCTCGGGTAGGTAAACGATCGCCTCGTGTGCGTGAATTACTGTCTCAAGAAAGTCAGTGATTGTCTCGGCTGGGTGAAGGATTGTCTCTGGTAAAAGAATGATTGTCACATTTGAATGAGTTTGTCTAGTACCCATGTGTTTAATCTCGGTCCACTGAAGCACTATATAGTGCCAAGTGTTCAGTCACCAGAAACAAATTTCATTGATCTCGATTCCACAAACAACGAGATTATGCTCGGGAAGTGCACATAAGCATCACGACTGTAAGCTTTACAACCCAAAATGTGTTGGCTGTTATGATTTTACTATGCAGTTTACGTCCATTTGTTTGCTATATTTTTACTTGATATACGGAAGTAAATCATGAACAGTTTGTAGAATATTGAAACATTATTAGAAAGCTGCACAGATGTGATTTTAAAGACGAATTATAAGAATACCCTGGACAGATTGAAAGAGTAATGAAGATGTCTTGAAAGAAACTGACTCACGAAGAGAACGGATTGCCCACATCGGAAAAAGACAATCTACATTCTTTGGTCGTGCGATGAGTGGGAGAAAACTAGCAAGTCTCTCCCAACCATTCGTGTCCCTTCTCCTGTTGCCGCAGCCTTGTTAGTGTCTCAATGCTCACCACATGAATCAGAAATTCATTGCCGTGCTGTGCTATGATACAGTAATGCAGCTGCATCAGGCGGCACCGTAAGGGGCGGCATAATCAGTTTGAACCTTTGATCTGACAGTGCACAGCTATAAAGGGCGGCATTTCGAATACTTGCATCAAACCGAGAAAATCTAACGCACGGGACTGCAATAGTTGATAGGAGTATTTTCTTTTCTTCACTCTGCATGCTGTTTCTGCATACTTGTCCTCGTTTAGCATCCATTTCAAACAGATAGTACATCGTTCCTGACTCCTTTGTCTCAAAGTCTCTGAAACTCCCCGCCCCCCCCCCCCCCCAGAATGTGTGCCCTGTCCATACTTCTCACTCCGCTTACTGCTGCAGTCACGTCTAGTTGGCTCATTCATGTGTTTCCTTTCTTATTTCAGTGCCGCCAATCATCAGCCGTGTACCGCAGCCAATGACAGTGGACGAAGACGGAAGTGCATCTTTTAGCTGTCAGGTGGCGGGAACTCCGTACCCCGTGACTACAATTTTGTGGATGAAGGATGGTGTCCCCTTGCCTATGGTATGTTGTTACCACCACCTCCTTTAGAATATATATTCCCCAGTGGGGCGTCATTGTTACCTTGTGTCATAACGTTTTGTTTTGTACATGACCTCTTTGAGCTAATTATTTTGCTAAGGCCGGCTGTGGCTCTGTACATACATGGTAGGAAAAGATTACGTTTTCTGCTACAAATATTACAACCTGATATATATGGATAGGGGTATAGATATATAAATAGTTATTTGTTACACAGACAGGCAAAGAAACAGGACAGGCAGTCAGATAAAATAGACAAGACAAAACGAACAGACGAACAAACTTTATTGTCAAAGCGTTACAAATTGGGTACGCAGGCCCGTCTTACATTCGGCTCTTTCCAACACCTATCTTTCACACAACAGTTGTATTTTATCAAGAAAGCATGTTATGATCATATAATAATATGCATTCAATGAATACTAAGAAAAAAAAAAAAAAAACACAAAAGCATGGGTAGTAAAATGCATGGGCACACTTACGCGCACACCCCCGCCCCTTTCCATACGAGCACACGCCCATTCACTCACTCACTCACTTACACACCTACATACATTCATACACACACATTCGTACACACACACACCCAAAAAAACATATATACATACATTCATACACACACATACATACACACACTCATACACTCACTGATACCTACATACATACATACACACACATAACACATGCACACATAACAAATACATACATACGTACGTACATACATACATACATACATACATACATACATACATACATACATACATACATACATACATACATACATACATACATACATACATACATACATACATACACACACACACACACACACACACACACACACACACACACATACATACATACATACATACATACATACATACATACATACATACATACATACATACATACATACATACATACATACATACATACATACATACATACATACATACATACATACATACATACTCAGACACACACAAAGACAAGCAGACACACAAAGACAAACACACAATTACACAGACACACGCACACCTACAGACACACACGCACACCTACAGACACACACAGACTTACACACGCTGACACACACGAGGAGACACAGACAGGTAGACAGCTAGGTAGGTACGCAGGCAGGTAGACAGACAAATAAACAGACAGACGGACGGACAGATAGATAGATAGGTGGTAAGTTGTTGTTAGATGTTGAACAATATATTATATCACAGATAGATCATCACGGTCTGAAGATGAAGAGAAAGGTCGAGACAGGAGTGACCAAGCGATCTGGCCGACGATCGACACTCATGGGAGGGGTAAGAGGGGCATGCCATTTGACTGTTACCATCGGAATCGGAATTCTGCGCTTGCTGCTGAAGATGGGGACACAACAGGTATGGGAAAGCCCAGAGTGATATGATGTGGTTCATAACTCACAAATAACTTATTCTTAGACAGCAATGGATGTACTGCAGCCAACATCCTTTATGAAGATGGCACGTGAAATGTCCTTTGTGCTAGAATGCCATTTACCTGATCATATCTGTTTTCAGGGGTCCAAGTTCTTTCAAATCAACCCCAAAGAGGGGACTTTGGTCATTCCAACGGTCAGGGGCTCAGATGCAGGCAACTACGTCTGTGTGGCCAACACTACTGGTCATCCTGTGAAACTGTCCAGTCCTGCAAACCTTCGAGTATCCAGTAAGTAAACATAAACAATTACTGTCATACTGTCTTTGTTTAGTCTTTTGATACCTGATAGTGTTATTTTTTAACAGTTTACATTTTTAATTCCTGTATTTCTGATAGTTCTTTGTCTTCTTCATGTTCACCTGCTGTAAATTGGTGGGAAGTTCTGGTTGTTCGTCCACTACTGGGTTTGGTCTAGTTCCAGGACTCAAATAGTGGCTGTGTTGTGTATATGCAGTTAGCTTCTTGTATATTAGACAGATCCGCTTTGACTTGGAAGAAAATGTCAATCCTGTCTGTGCTGGCTAGGCCCCTGGTAGTGAACTTGTTTGTAGGATGACCCTCAGGATGTGGAGATGGATCTTGACCAGTATGAATGTTGGTCTTGGTGCACTACTACCTATGGTTCAGATTCTCTGTATCCCTCTAATAGGTAATAGTTCAGAATCAACATGATAGCATACTGGGCACACTCTTAGAAGTTCCTCCCTGTCTGGGTTCCATCAACATCAACATCAATTCTCTTTATGCCTAGTGGCCCATGTGGCTCCAGAGAGGACTTTTCATGCTTTCCTTTCCTGTGCATGTCAAAGATGCCACACTCAGGTCACTTTCCATCGTTCGTCTCCATGTTGTTCTTTTGCGCTCCTTTTTTGTCTTTGCCCCTGATGTCCAAGTGAGAGCTGTTTTGGCAGGTATATCAGGATTCATTCTCATAATGTGACCAGGATATTTCCATATTTTCTTTGTCTGGGTTCCAGAACCTCGTTATTTCTTTTTTTCCGGGTGGGAGGGGGGGGGGGTAGATCCATTGCTTCCCTAACAAATACCCTGAAAGACGACTGATATGAGAAATGTGCTGAAATCATATGTTTTGAGTCTAAAGGCACAGGTGTCACGGCCTAGCTGTATACCACAGCACAATGTGCCAACCATCTTTGTAGGGGTGAATGAGGAAGACCTGCTCCAGATCTCTGGCAGATTGTCACAATGAGTTGATGCTTATCACTCCAATAACACAGTGGATGTTCTTGTAAGCTCTCTAGCTTCGTCCCCTAACAGTCAATACCTGCAGGCATCGATCTTTTGCTGTCAGCATTTCTTAAAATACCCAGACAGGGGAAATAACTGGCATGAGCTTATTATTTGCATTGAATCTAAATATGCCGTCTATTGCGAGCAAGTTGATTCAGATTCAGATTATAGTTCATTGTCATGCTGTGCCATTGTATGTCACATGGGGCTTGCAATCTATTTGTCCATTCCGTTTCTATCCTGTACAATCAGTTTAATATCATAGATAGAATCCAGCCTAGCAGCTTTAGCTTCCCCCATCAATGTTCACCTCAGGATTTCTCCTGTAAACCCTAGTTTCCTCAGTCCCTCTGTTTCATGTTTCAGTGACTGTTTGGTGATTCTCTTCTGGTCTCTTCTCAGAGTGTCTCCAGTTTAGCGCCATCTTATCTGTCTTTAAGATGTTGGTACTAGAGGTTGTCCAGACATTTTTGTTATTTCTTCACTCCTCTTGAATTCATCCCATTTTTGTTTTCATCATTTTCCTCAAACATGTGTTTCAAATGTGTTTAACTTTCATTACATGTCTTTAACGGTTCTCCATCTGCCACTGTATATGTTGAAGTGAAGCATTAGAACTGGAAATACGTAACTTGGATCTAAAACTATATAGTTTATAGTTCCACATTTTGTTCCAGCTTTCAAAAACTGCTTATGCCTTGCCAACGTGTGTCTATAGTAGATATCACAAATCTTCTTCTTCTTTGCGTTCACCAGCTGTAAACTCCAGCAGAAAGTTCTGGGTGTTCCTCCACTTCTGGACTACGGTCCTGTTCCAGAACTTGAGTGTTGCATGTGCATCCGTTGACAGATCTGACTAATTTGTATGCAGACTTTTGGTTTCCATGCCTCCCTGGTAGGTGCACTCCGACTTTGAAGGAAGCTCCAAATTAGTCGACTCTTACGACATGCTTTTTGGGTAGGCAGTGGGTCTATTCTTGTTTTCCCCACAATGGGGCCCCAGAACTCACTCGGGGAGCAACCTCCATTTCATGACAAAAGCTGTCAAGAATCATCTTGCTGGGTGTTTTTCTCTATCTCTTTTCCAGAGATCTTTCCAGTGGTCACAACATGTTCCACTTTCCTTCTTCTCATAACATGGTACACAATGATGACTGTCCTTTTCTGAAGTCTGTGATTAGTTGTCTTGGGACACCTAATAGTCAGATAAATGTTGGATAGTCTGTGTAAAATTCTGCAGCTTCCAATCCAATTTTGTTCTGATGTTCAGGGAAGCTGAAGTTTGATCCTCAACCCGACGAAGTCTACTACCTGGAGCTGGACAAAGTTGCCAGCATCAAGTGCCACGCTGAAGCCCTGACCCCACCTCTGATCCAGTGGCTGAAGGTCAACAATGGGCTCAAGCTGCCCGACCACATGTACGAGGAGAGAGGGACTTTATATTTTGTGAAAGTCCGCAGGGAGGACGAGGGCAAATACATGTGTGTGGCCACCCACAGGCAACAAGGTTACATCAACGCTACAGTGACAGTCAGGATTGTTGGTAAGGACTCATCAATAATAAATGTGAAAAATTTAAATTAATAAATAAATGTTGTGTTAACACTATAGATTTAGAAATAGGGCTAGCCATTACTGGCTTATTAACCACTGTTGTGGTGTAGGTAGGATCGTCTTTGAGCCTGAAGATTTCAGTACACCTGGCCAGTGTTGTCACCGTGGACAGCATTGTGAGAACTTTATTTGTTGCCCCCGATAGAAAAGAAATCCACAACTGTAGAGAAGATATGAACCCGTGTCTCATGTATGAAAGCCCAGGGTTCTTCTTCACTGTTTAACTAGTGGTTCAGCTGAATTAACACTTTATAATTATAAATTTGAAGAAGAAAAAAATGGTATGCCGACTCCGCAGTGAAGGCTGGTTATAATGTACCCACTGTTGTGTTTGGGAATGTTGCTTCGTGAGGCCCCCCCCCCCCCCCCCCGTCTTTTCCATGCTGGGACTCTTGTACCCTTGTCCTAGAGTGCAAATGGAGAAGAAGAAGTAAAAAAGTAAAAAGTAAAGGACCCTTTTCCATGCCTTCAGGCGTATAGGGCATATAGGGCTAGACCTATATTTTATAGACCAATCGGGACAAGATGGGTAATGTGGTTAGCATCACGCCGGCCGCCTTTACTTTCCTGGGACTGCACCCGGTACCCACTCAAGGCTGGGTCGACCTGGAAGCCAAGTCATTTTGAAAAAGTCAGGCTCCGCCAGGGAGCGAATCCACGTCCTTCCGATCCGCGGCGAGCGTCTAGCCGCTCTGCCACGGCGACCCCCGAGAAGAAGAAGACTAGCTGATAACAGATAACTCCACTTTAGTTCACACACAGACTACCAGAAGAGAGCTGCAATACAAGACATAGTTTACTTCAGACTTGGAGCCTCTTAGCTTCTGTAGCTGCGCTAAGTACTGTAAAACTTCAATTACTGTCACACGAATAAACATCAGTTTCTGTTACTGGTAATTGTCTTTAAAAAAAAAAAAAAAGTATCAACAAACAAACAGAAATTGTCCACGAATTACTTTTACACCCTACTATATAATGCTGGAAATAGAAATAATGTTATCAAAGTGCGTGGACTGATTTGAAAAGCAAGAAAAGACAAAGTCAACACTGATCCATCTTCTGGGTAAGATTCAGAACATGGCCACACAACAAGCTTGAGCCTCAAAGACACAAAAAGAGATGACAGGTTGTTTTAAAGTAGCCTAGCTTTAAAGTGTTTAGGTACATTTATGTATATTATACTATTATATTGAAGGTTATAATGATCGTTTTGTAAAATTAAATACAGTATTTATGTATTATTTACTTTTAAAGGTCTTTATTTCCATTTTTGTCCAAAGTTCGCCGTGAAATCATGTCACTGTACATACATCTTACGATATTTCTGTATCTATCTATTTGGTAACCCACCACAACCCTGGCCCGGAGGGTGATAGGTAATCAAAGTTACAGTGGTACCTTAGTTGGTTAAAGTTAGTTGTGTATCTTTTACATGAGGTTGCAGAACCAACCCCAGCATTTGTTGTTGTGGTTTTTCTAGGCAAATTTATGTCCGGTCGTTTGCCATTGCTTTCTGGATGGTCAACTTCTCAATACCACTGTCGAAATCAGCGCGAGGCCTGCAGCTGGGATCGAACCGGGCACCCCGGCATTATGAACCCACAGACGCCTCAAGTGGTACTTGGTATAATTAGAATTCAGAGTTGAACTTATTCTGTTTCAACAGTGAGTTTGCATTGTCTTTCAGAAAAGCCATTCTTTAGCACTCGGCCTCCCAATATGACCACAGCATTTGAAGGCCAGCCCATGAGGCTTCACTGCGTGGCTGCTGGCGATCCCAAACCACAGATCGTGTGGGACAAGGATGGGAGAATCTTGCCTACCACTGATCCTGCAGCAACTTCCAACAGTAGATATTTGGTAGGTACTGTCTTTGGTCAGAGTTTGTGTTTCCTCTGTGATTTAATTGGTAGGTATAGTCTTTATTCAGAGTTTGTATTTCCTCTGTGATTTAATTGGTAGGTATAGTCTTTATTCAGAGTTTGTGTTTCCTCTGTGATTTAATTGGTAGGTATAGTCTTTATTCAGAGTTTGTGTTTCCTCTGTGATTTAATTGGTAGGTACTGTCTTTGGTCAGTGTTTGTGTTTCCTCTGTGATTTAATTGGTAGGTATAGTCTTTATTCAGAGTTTGTGTTTCCTCTGTGATTTAATTGGTAGGTATAGTCTTTATTCAGAGTTTGTGTTTCCTCTGTGATTTAATTGGTAGGTATAGTCTTTATTCAGAGTTTGTGTTTCCTTTGTGATTTAATTGGTAGGTATAGTCTTTATTCAGAGTTTGTGTTTTCTCTGTGATTTAATTGGTAGGTATAGTCTTTATTCAGAGTTTGTGTTTCCTCTGTGATTTAATTGGTAGGTATAGTCTTTATTCAGAGTTTGTGTTTCCTCTGTTATTTAATTGGTAGGTATAGTTTCTGGTGCAGTATATACTTTAAACTGATCTACAAGTGGGTGAGGGCCTCCATTGTGGAGAACAATGAATAGACTCACTCACTGCCCCCAGCAAGCAGATCATAGGAAGTGACTAATGTGGGGTGTTTTCTTCAAGGTCAAAGTGCATCTGCCTGAGACGCAAGAAACCAACAGTCTGTATACAAATAAGTCATGTGTGTAAAACAGAAGAGCACAAAAAACTCAATTTCTGGATCAAGACCAAAATCCGGGAGTGAATAACAACAAGAACTTCACACTAGAGTTACGGATGGTGAACGTTAAAAGAAGAAAACACTTAAAACATGTTGTCACTTATTATTTTTTTTTCTTCTACATTTCTCTATGATCTTCTCACTTAGTTATACAGTCAAGCAATACTAAGGCTGTGTTATCATCATCATCATCAAGTCCCTCACCACCTGGCACGGATGCTGAAGCTTCTTCACATCTCACTGTTTCCTGCAACATGTATCACTTTATACACTGCACCTCTCCATGCCTTGCCAGAGGTGTTCACAATATATTCTTGTTGCCTTCCTTAACCTGTCTTTCCATAAATCTTTCCAATTGTCATACATTTTTCTTTGTCTTATATTATTGCCCAGAAATGATGACAGACTCTTTCTGATGTTTGAAATAAGTTGTCCTTATACACTGTCTTAGCCTCTTTCAGATGTTAATGATGAGTTGTCTTCATATAATGTTTCAGTTTCTTTCTGATGTTTGAGATAAGTTGTCTTCAGGAGATAAGTTGTCTTCATGTAATGTTTCCGTTTCTTACTGATGTTTGTGATAATTTGTCTTCATGTAATGTTTCAGTTTCTTACTGATGTTTGTGATAAGTTGTCTTCATGTAATGTCTCAGCCTCTTACTGATGTTTGTGATAAGTTGTCTTCATGTAATGTCTCAGTCTCTTTCAAATGTTTGAGATAAGTTGTCTTCACGAGATAAGTTGTCCTTATGTCAGAACATGTTTGTTTAGAAAAAAGGGACTCTTTTCAAGACCTTTGCATGCTGTAAGATCAGAGAACTGTCTGGACAAATACCTATATTGACTGCAATATGACAAAGAAGGTGGAGATATTCTGGGCACAATCTGAGATGAAATGAACAAAGAATCACAAAACAGGCACTGAAATGGGAAGCAAATGATCTGGGGAACAAAAGAGGACGTCCATGGGAAACATTAAGAAAAATATTATTACAAGTGGCAGTAAATGCTGGGCTAAACTTCATGTCAGAAATCAAGAGTTGCATGTAATAGAGCAGAGTGGAGGAATCAAATGTGAGCCTTATGTGACGTCTAACGGAACATAAACAATTATAATACATAAAATATTTATAAAAGCCAAGTTACAGAATTTTTTCTTTTTTTAATTTGTCAGGTGTTTCCTAATGGAACGTTACTGGTACAAAAAGTTTTAATAGAGGACAAAGGAAAATATGGATGCACAGCTAACAACTCTGCTGGAAAAATTCGCACAGAGTTAACCCTCCTGATAACACGTAAGTTATTTTGCAGCCGTCTAGTTGTCTTATGATTTCACCTGTATAATTGTAATCAATGTCTTTATCTTTGGAGTAAGGTCATCCATTAAAGCTTTGATGTGTTGGTTGCTTGTGGACACAGACAGCTGGTACATTTTCCTCATATCCTGGATCTGGAGTCCATGGTTCCATTGCCCAGCTATGGAATTGAGTGCTTGGTGCAATACTGTGACCCATGGATATGAGGAGGAATTTTTCCATTCTGTGCTTACAGTGGTTAGCATATTCAGAAAATAGTGTGTGGCTGCTTTGTATCCAAGCTAGCAGTTTTAGTTTATCCATTATTGCTTGTGCAACTGATATTTTTCATGACTGACTGCTTCAGTCAGTGATGAACTGCAACTCTGGTGGTGAACTGTTAGTGTTGGAATCTCTGGCATCTTCATTTGCTGCATATAGCAGCACTGATATGTTTCACTAGTTTTCAAATGGGACAGTTTGGAGCATTTTATGGGATTGTCCCTGGAACAGAGTAAAGCAGTTATGAGGTGGCTCAGTTGCCATGAAGTTGGAACTGTGACTAATGACCAACTCCTTCATTCCCATAAGATTGATGCTTCCCTTTAAATTCTAAACATGGTTTAGTGTCTTTTTTAATTTACTACTTTTTAGTAAAGCATATATACAAAATCTGGCTTCCTAATGTGTATTCATTTAGCCTTTATGAAAGCAATTTTGAAAAGTGATTGTCCACTTTGGATAAATGTTGTGAAAACCTTCTGGAACTGAGAGAGTCATGTGTCCTGTCCACTGAAATGTCCAGTCATTAATTTTTACAGCTATAGATCTCTAGTGATAAGTATAACGAGGTGTTTACATGCCGTGTTGTAAACTGGCAGTAATCTTTTCTCATTGACTTCCACTGTCGTATTTTCCATTAGTTTTGTTACAGTAAATTCAAGGGCTCTCTTTTAATGATAGAGGAAAAACTTACCTTCTTATTGTGATTTCAATCAGTCAATCAATCAATCAATCAGGTGCCATCTTCGCAATAAAGGTTGGCTGCAGTGGATCACCAGCACTCTGACTCTTGTCTTGATAATACACTCTCTCAGAATGCTGTTCATCCATCTCTTGATGTCATCCCACTTGTATTATTGTCTACCTCTTGCTTTCCTGCCTTCGACTTTTCCCTTCAGTGGGGTTTAGAAAAAGTGTTATTATGTCGTTTAGTTTCACTGAAATATTTCATTTGTCTTTATTTTCTCTGTTCTCTCTGTAACTTTCTTTTCATATGCAGTCTCCAAAACGTCTGGGTTTTTTTATTGATATGAGAAATTGTCTTGTTTCTTCTATCTACATCTGTATTTTATAGAACTGATTGACTGAAGTCAGGTAACTCTGATTGAAAATTCACTTTTGGAGCACGTTTAACAGAGAATTAAATCATTTTGCAACTGTGGTTGAGAACTGTCTTTTGGAGTCTGTTTTACAGATCTGGTAGAGTGAAAATGTGTCACTATGTCTGAGATTTAATGTTTATAGAGTCTCTTTTACAGATCTGGTAGAGTGAAAATGTGTCACTGTCTGAGATTTAATATTTAGAGTCTGTTTTACAGATCTGGTAGAGTGAAAATGTGTCACTGTCTGAGATTTTACATTTAGAGTCTGTTTTACAGATCTGGTAAAATTAAAATGTGTCACTATGTCTGAGATTTAATGTTTAGAGTCTGTTTTACAGATCTGGTAGAGTGAAAATGTGTTACTATGTCTGAGATTTAACGTTTAGAGTCTGTTTTACAGAGTGAAATGGTGAAATGGTTCACTATGGTTTAGAAGTGACATTTAGAGTGTGTGTTTTACAGAACCAATCGAAGAAGATGAAGGATTTGACATGGCCAAGACAGTAATCATAGCTGTCTGCAGTGCTGGTGCCTATCTTGCCCTGGTCATCGGTCTCACAGCCTACTGTAGTTATCGCCTCCTCATGCAGAGAAAGACCAGGAAACAATTACGTAAGTTTCCAATTAAAATTATTTGTTTCCTCCTCCTGTGTTTGTTTTTTCAGACACTCTTCGAAAGGATAGCTGACATTATCTGTTGTAGTTTACAGCTGGGCTGTGATATCTACATCTTTCAGCCCAACTGGTCAGATTTAACAAACCCTTAATTATTCACCATGGCATCTTTTCATGATGAATCCACCTCTGTATCTGTATCATTCATGTTCCGACCTCACACATATTTATACTGTAGTAGAGGTTGATCTTGGAATCTTGTAGCTAACATTTTAGTACAAAAAAGTGTTTATAGCAGAGCTTTTTTTTTTCTGGCTGAACGTAATGGTACGCAGTACCAGCACCTTTTTTTGGTGTGTTTTAGACATCATTGTTATGTTACTGTAAAAGACACTTTGTGGTGAGTACCTGCACATTATTAGATGCTATGTTGTGAGATCTGACAACGTTTTGTCTAGAAAAAAAAAAAACAAGCCCAGGTTAGTCAGCCAATCAATCGGCATGTCCTTTACAGAACGTCGCTCTATTCACGTCACACCTGAATGTCTCTCTTTCTCTGCCCAGTTCTCTAGACCTCTGTGCTTTCATAGCCAAAGCATCTTCAGTGTCCTGTACCCACCTTCCCAGTGGTCATCCTCTGCCCCACTTTCCCCTGGTTAATACTCAGATCTTTTTTAATCTTCTCGACAATCGTATAATACTGGAGACTTAGATGGGTCCTGTCATTCAGATTCTAAGTTATCAAAGTTTCGCCTTAGCTCTTTCAGTGCCAGAAATTTTCACCGCAGGTATCCAAAGGGGAATTACCTTCTATTAAAAGTATCCAAAGGGGGAATTAACTACTGTAAAAAGTATCCAAAGGGGGAATTAACTACTATGAAATATATCCAAAGGAGAAATTAACCACTATGAAAATTACCAGGAATTGCCCCTCTGATGTGTGTTCACCTTGTAGTGGCAGATTAGCTTGTTTGTCCACCTTGTTGTGGCAGATTGGCTTGTGTGTCCACCTTGTAGTGGCAGATTAGGTTGTGTGTCCACCTTGTTGTGGCAGATTCGCTTGTGTGTCCACCTTGTTGTGGCAGATTAGGTTGTGTGTCCACCTTGTTGTGGCAGATTGGCTTGTGTGTCCACCTTGTAGTGGCAGATTGACTTGTGTGTTCACCTTGTTGTGGCAGTTTGGCTTGTGTGTTCACCTTGTTGTGGCAGTTTGGCTTGTGTGTCACCTTGTAGTAGCAAATTGGCTTGTGTGTCCACCTTGTTTTAGCAGATTGGCTTGTGTGTCTCCCAAGTTAGACAAGTCAAAAAAGAGGAACCATACAAAGAAGGACATACTTGTTTCATGATGTTACAAATCGAAATAAATTAGTATGAAGCTAATCTCTCTGAGTCCTACCCAGCCGATATAGTGCTAGGACCCTTGCCTCAAAGCAGTCTACCCAGCAGAAATAGTGCTAGGACCCTTGCCTCAAAGCTGTCTGCCCAGCAGAGATAGTGCTAGGACCCTTGCCTTGAAGCTGTCTACCCCGTAGATATAGTGCTAGGACCCTTGCCTCAAAGCTGTCTACCCAGCAGAGATAGTGCTAGGACCCTTGCCTTGAAGCTGTCTGCCCAGTAGATATAGTGCTAGGACCCTTGCCTCAAAGCTGTCTGCCCAGCAGAGATAGTGCTAGGACCCTTGCCTCAAAGCTGTCTACCCAGAACCAACCATGGTATCCTACCCCTGTAGAAGTCTGTGGAGTCAAGGCAGAGAGGACAGGGTGAGAGCTATTGACTAAATACCCTGGACACTCAGTATACTACAATGAAACACTGAAGAAGTCTGAAGGTTTGAACTTAGGCACTCTTGTTGAGAAGCAGGTATTCTGATTATATGGCCACATGCTCCTCATTAGCATGCTATGCATGTAAAGTAGAACAAATGGAATAAGACATTTTATTTATGTTAGAACTAAGTAAAAATTGTTTTTAAATGTAATAAAGAGCTTATCTGTTTCTGATTCATAAAGGAAATTAATGGATAAGCAGCTTCTTTAGCATTTACAAGTCACATTTTAAGCCATCCTCCATTAGCCCACAAAGAAAATATTGGGGAGGCGGGGGGAGAGGAGGGGAGGAATACTCCAGGATTAAGAGATAAAAAGGGCTCAGTCAGGAAACTGAATAACAGGTTATGAGAGAACAGGAGATTTAGAGAGCTCCAGTCACTTACATGAAGATTGATGAGACTTGGGGAAACAGAGTTTGGCAGCTTGAAGCATTGGCCAGAAGATAAAATATATTATTTGTTCTATTTTTTAAAAACTGATATGGAAAATCTTGCAAACTTTGTGTTGTTGTTTTGTTACATTATAGAAAATAAGTTACGGATATCAGGTGGTTTCCTGTTTGGATTTCGAGGTGCCATTTGGGTGGGAAAAGGGGGGGGGGGGGGATAGACCCACTTCCTCATAATAAACATGATGTAAGAGGTGACTAATTAGGGGTGTTCCCCTTGAAGTTGCAGGGCAAATGCCTGAGAGGTGAGAAACCAACAGTCTGCATACAAATAAGCCAGATCTGTAAAACAAATGTGCACACAAAACTGAAGTTCTAGAACAAGTCCCAAATCCAGAAGTGGATGACCAATCAGAACTTTCCACCAGAGTGGAAAAAACCTTTTCATAAGCTTCTCTTTTTTGTTTCCATAGAGCAAAGTTTTCAGAATGATTTGATACTATACATTTTTCCTCTTATTCTTTCCTTCAACATCCTTCTTCAAGGATGGTTTCATGTTACATTGTAGTTTACGGTAAGGCTCAAATTTATTTGTCCCTCAGCCCAACACATTAGAATTTTACAAACCCCTAAGCCAGTGATTCCCAAACTGTGCACCGCAGCGCCCAGGAAGCCACGACCTTTTCACAGGGGAGCCGCGAAATATTGTAAAAGCTTCATAATTAGTTTAACAAAGACACGAATAGTTATACTTTTACTTAGGTTAGGGCACCGTGGAGCCATTTTTAATTAAAAAAAGGGGCCGCGGCCAAGAAAAGTTTTGAAAACACTGCCCTAAGCAATTGTGTAAACACAGTGTTTGTCAGGTTTTCTGTGTGATGCGATAGCTTGTTGTATGAGGTATCCTCGTGTATAAGGATGAACAGTGGTGTGGGCTGTTTTCCTTATGCCACAAAATTTTTTAGCTGAAACAATTTTTTAGCTGCAAAATTCAACTAATCATCTAAATGTTAACAAGTCTCAGAAGGATTTGACATGAGTTGATTGAGGATCTAAGTTTTTCTGGGAAAAGACAGGTAAAAGAAGGAGAAAAAACTCAAATGTAGCTCAGCAAGATAAAGGAAAAGGAGGATATAAGTAGCATGAAAGTATTTATTATTGGCCTATGCTGCCCTGGGAGAGGAGAGGTAAGAAAAGGGGAGAGGTAAGAAAAGGGGAGATACTCTGATGTCGCACAAAAATGTTCATTATTATGTTTTACTGAATCAATCCTCAGTTAATGCTAAAAACATGAAGCTCGGAGCAGGAGAATTCCAACATCACAGAGAGCAGCATGAACTTCTGATGAAGGACAGAGATTCTGGGCTGCAGTTCCGCAGTGACAGCGACAACCGCTCACATGTCTCAGGCATGAGCTCAAACCCTTCACACTCCTCGACTTCTGCTTCAGGGGCTGCTTCTCACATCACAGCATCAGCAGCAGCAGCAGCAGCAGCACGGTGTCGCAGTACCAGTCTAGACAAGTTTATCTTTCCGAGACAGGATCTTCACACACTAGGAATTATCGGTTAGTTCTTTCCCTCCCTCCTCTCTCTCTCTCTCTCTCTCTCTCTCTCTCTCACACACACACAGTTCCCCACCCCTTCTGTTTTCTCTCTCTCTCTCTCTCTCTCTCTCTCTCTCTCTCTCTCTCTCTCTCTCTCGATGTGAAATAATGTAGGAAATACTGGCATGGACTAGAAGGAGAATACACTAGGCTCGTATTATTTTCCTTAGTAAAACAGCAGTGGCTACCACACACATATACATACACACACACATACACATACATACATGCACACACACATACATGCACATACACACACATACATGCACATACACACACATACATGCACATACACACACATACACACACACAAAAACATATATATATACACACACATATACACACACACATACATACACACACACACACAGCACTGTCACAACTATGATGCAGAAGTTCAAGTCATCAAAATAACAGCTGAGAAACTGTTAAATGTACTTCTTCTTCTTCTTCTTCTTCGCGTTCACCAGCTGTACACTCTGGCGGAAAGTTCTGGTTGCTCATCCACTACTGAACTGCAGTCCTGCTCCAGAACCTGAGTGTTGCGTGTGCATGTTTTACAGATCTCATTCTCTTGAATACAGACTGTTGGTTCCTTGCCTCTATGGCAGATGCACTCCGACTTCAAAGGAAGCTCCCCAATTAGTCGACTCTTACGACATGCTTTTGGGGAGGCAGTGGGTCTATTCTTGTTTTCCCCACAATGGGGCCCCGGAACCCACATGGGGGTTAAATGTACTTCATATTTAACAACTCATGCAATTTCTAACAGTTTCAAGAGCAGTACTTCAGGCATCAAGTCTGGAAAATTACCTGGTATACGAACACTACTCTCTGAACCAGGCAACAGGTGTAAGCTAATTGTGCAGTGGATACCATCCCACTGTGGAGGTCTTCGAGATAAAAGAGCTGATAAACTAGCCAAGGAAGGTGCAACTGAAGAACAATCTGACGTACCAGTCTCTTATTAACAGAAGAAGGGAATCATTGAATAAATCAGAAAGCCACCAAAGTCTGTGCAGGACGATTACCATATTATGGACAGACCAGAGCACGTTATTATTTTACACCTTAGAACAGGACACAATCAACTTCTCAGCCACATGTATACAAAATTTAAGATCAGTGAATCAGCTACGTGCACATGTGGATTAGCACCTGAGACAACAGATCACGTCCTCCAAGACTGTCCCAAATACAGCATATCAAGACAAAACTTTTGACCAAGAGAAACACCGGTGCAAGCCACACATTATGGGTCGCTGAGTGAACTACAAAAGACGGTGAAGTTCATAGTAGAGACAACATTGCAAATATAAATAATCGGCTATCCTTCGACTTACGGTCGGCAAAGATGGCGGTCGGAAAATAACCAGCTGAGCCGCAGTCACGTGTCAGTTGCGCACTTCCTGCTAGGACTCATGAGCAGCAGCTTCTGCATCTTCTGCAGCCTTGCTCGTGAGTCCTAGCCATCCAGTTTAGCCCCATGGGGGCCACATGGCGGTAGCCATGGTCGCCGGAAAAGCGAACATTAAGTAGCCAGAAAAGCGAACATTAAGTAGCCAGAAGTGCGCAATTGACACGTGACTGCGGCTCGGCTGGATATTTTGCGGCCGCCATCTTTGCCGACCGTTAGTCGGAGGATAGCCAAATAATCTATTTCAAACGAACGAAAGAAGAAGAAGAAGAAACACACACACATGCACGCACGCGCGCACACACACACACACACATACACACACACACACACACACACTTGATTTAACAAATGTAGCATCAAAACATCAGTAGCAGATCAAACCAGTGTCAGACTGGAGAAAAAACAAAGACATTAAAATCAATGATCAGGTTCCCCGTTTAGGAAACAATTTTGATTGCGGGGAAACACAAGCAAAGAAACTGGTACACACTGGCAAGGCTGCAGCAACTTTTCCATGTCTGAACAAAATATAGAACTTTAAATTATATAATTTTGAACACATCTCAATGAAAGTTATCTCCTCCTTTTTCTTCTTCATGATCATTGGCTGTAAACTTCGGCAAAAGGTTTTAGTTGTTTATCCATCTCCAGACTTTTGCTGTGTTCAAGAATCTGAGTGTTGCGTGTTCATCTGTTTTACAGATCTGGTTTATTTGTATGCAGATTGTTGGTTCCTCAGCTCCAATTTAAAAGCCCCAATTAGTCGGCTCATACAACATGCTTTTGGGGGAGGCAATAAAGACATGGAACAAAAGTATAAGTTGAGGACGCAGATAATTTGGTAATTTCAGCTTCATAAGGGTGACGCCGTAGTTGCTCCCCTCCTATGCCTTTGAAAAACACACAGAATGTCCATCACTGTCCCTTGTGGAAAAATTGAGACTGCAGTCTTAGCATATCCCTAAGCATACACACTCATTAAAGGGATAAGACAACCATCAGAAGTGCCAACACAAACAGTCCGACATTAGAAATGTAGTTCATGATCGACGGAAGCAGCAGTTAGAAACAGATCAGTAGCTGCACACGCAATTAATTTCAACCACCTAAGGCACCACCACTTCTGTAGCAACAGGCTACTTGCCGTTTTCTGACACAACACCACGTTGGTCACAGTTGAAAAACATTTCAAATCTGCAGCTCACGGTGTCGGGTCATGCACTCAGCTCAGTAGCTGACGACAAAATTATATTCTTTCAGTCTATAAATGGAGGAAAATGCAATGGCCAACATCTGTCAGAAGCAAAAATGGGCCATGACTAAAAACATTGAATTCACCTGTCCACTGTATTGACCGGAAGGACCATTCTCACACATTTGGTGTATCAGACAAATGGTGCTCGACCCATATTTGTAAGACCATTGGATAATGTGTACAACGCCATACTGGCCACCTTAACTGTGCAGAGCATTTCCTTGGTGCCCACTTAATATTGGTCAGCCTGGAAACTCTAGGTCAGTCAGAGAAATCCTCCTCCTTTGGGCAGGAAGGCATGCCTGCAGCAGCTGCGCTACCTTAGCTCCTATTTGAAGCCTACTCTAGTTACAAAACCATTTCTAGTTTGCACTAACATGTACACTGTTTATTGAACAGGAAAAGGCAAATTCGGGGATGTGTTCCTGGCCAAAGCCAGAGCTATACGACCCCATGAACCAGAGACGCTCGTGGTTGTGAAGTCCCTGCTGACCAAAGGGGAGGCAATCAGCACCGAGTTTCATGCAGAAATGGACATGTACAGCAAGATGGAGCATTCCAACATTGTTCGACTGCTGGGTGTTTGTCGGGAGGCGGAGCCATTCTTCATGATCACTGAGTACTGTGACTGGGTAGGTTGATATTTGTTTGTTTGTTTTAGTATCCAGAAGCCATGAGTTGTTAACCTTTAGGCTCGGTATTATGGATATCGCAACCTTTCGGCCTTGATTCCATTGTAAATACCGTAAATCTGGGAGAAATGTGGCTTTTCTGCCTACCCCCAAGAGTGAACCTGGACCACAAGGAGTTAGTCACCCGGTCACCGTGCAATCCGGTTTAGCCAACTACGCTAGAGAGCCGGGCAGGTAGGTTGATAACACAAGTCGAAGCAATGTTTCCTGTTTAGGAATTGGAACAAAAAAGACACAAACAATCCATTGCACAGTTTATTATGCAGACGAAAGAACATAATTCTGAACTTGCATTTACCTGGGTGAAACAAACAGCTACTTTTCAATGTAGTCGATTTTGTGTTTCGGTTCAAGGGATTCATTTATTTGCTTCATTTTAATTAAATTCTACTGTAGTTTATACCTAACGAGGTATAACGAAATATTCCAGGCAAAAGAATTGTGCAGTCTGTTGTTTGTTTCTTCTTTGTTCAAAGATAACATAAGTGTTTTTCTGTTGCCTTTTATTACCCCATTTGAGCTTTTTTTTTTTTTTTATGCGTCATCTCCACAACGAAGGTTGGCTACATACACCCATTTTGCTGTCTTTAGGAGTATTATGCTTCGAGGGCCCAATCTCTTCTTTGATGTGAGTATCATACTACTGTCCAAAAACCACGAGTCAAAAACTTTAATTTTTTTTTTTTTTTTTTAAAACTTTTTTTAGTCCCAAACTGTAGTCACTTTAACTCCTTCTATTCCAAGAAATTGAGCTTAAAACAGATATATATTTCAATTCTAATGAACTTCAGCAAGGACACTATGGGTCAAAACTTGTGGTGAGTTATGGGTACTCAAAGAGTTAATAAACCATTCACTGAGAAGATTGAACTGGAGCTGTATATTTGAGCATTAGCCCTCAACTAATTGAAGGCAAGCGGTCCTGTTGTTTCCCTTCCATGCAGCTTCTTTGGCGTCCTTTCCATGCTATTAATCTTCAACTCTAAATCTCATCTCTTTGTGTTTGAAGTCTCTTTTTATCTTGTGCACTGGGAATCCCCAGAGGAGGAAACAAATAATAGACTGACTGCCCTTTAGCAAGCATGTCCTAAAAGATGACTAAATAGCGACTGGCTAAAATCAGATGCGTTGGACTGAAATCACAACAGCATGTCAACTGTCCTTCCAAAGGCTAACAAGAAAGAAGAAGAACTTGAATTGTTGTATGCGTGTAAATCATGGAAAATAAACATTCAGGCTGAGAATCATTAAATAACAACTGAAATATAATTTCTGACTAGATTTTTTTTTTTTTTTTTAACGTGGATGGACAGAAAATTAACACAATCCTTTGTACACTGATTAGAGCAAGAATCACAGACAGTGCAGATTTTTGGACATTTTCTGAGCTAAAATATATGTTTAAAAACTTTGTGACAAATAGCAAACTTGATGGAAAAAGAGCAGAGGGAAAAGATAGAAGTGCCTAGATGGCTTGGCCATTAGCATAATTAAGGGACATGAACATAGACCGTGTTCTTCTTCTTCACCAGCTGCGAACTCTGTCAAAAAGTTTTGGTTGTTTATCCACTTCTGGACTTTAGGGTTTTTCCATAATTTGAGTTTGCATGCATATCTGTTCTTCATATCTAGCTGATTTGTATGCACATGTTAGTTCCTTACCTCTCAGGCAGATGCTTCCTGACTTTGAAGAGGCAACCCACCTGATGGTCTGATCTGAGCATATGAAACCGAATGCAAAGAAGAAGAAGAAGAAGACTTTGAATGATACACCCCTAGTTAGTCACCTTTTAAGACTGTTGGAGGTGGGGAGTTGTCAGTTCCTTCCTCCCCCTTCCCCCGGCTCCCAATCCCCAAAGGGGCTCCCATACACATGGAGAGACCATGTCCAGTATCAGTATTTGTGTGTGATAGTAAACTATGGCAGCTACACACAATGACATGTCACATGATGATGATAAATATTTATAAATAATAACAATAACCATTTGTGATTAATATTTTTCTGTCTCTAGGGAGACCTGAAACAATTTTTAGTGGCCATGAGAAGTGACAATGGCCGCCGAGCTCCAACTGCAAGATTACCTACCATTTCTGCTCTTCAGAAAATGAAGATGTGTCAGCAGGTGGCGCTGGGGATGGAGTATCTATCAGGATGCAAATTTATACATAGAGATCTTGCAGCTAGAAATGTCCTTCTGTCATCAAGGATGGAACTGAAGGTATCCATGTTGGTTGTCTTGTTTGTTTCTTCATGTTTGTTTTCAGTTTTGTAAATTTTGTTCTTCTTTGAAAGGTGTTGATTGCAGTTAGATGTATCAATGCAAATTTTTAAAAAATACATATTAGGAGGCTACAAAATAAAGGAGTGAAACCTAGAGAAATCTGTCATCGAATGAAGGTCCAGTATGGCCTATCAGTCCAGCAAGTATGTTAATGGAGTAGTGGGACCTGAAAAGTGATGATCAGGTCAGGCACACCAAGAAGTGACCAGTCTGTTGCAGAAGTCACGCCACTGTGAAACTTCCTACTCCACTTGAACACTTGCTGGATGGACAAGAATGCATCATCGTACTGGACCTTCATTCTCTGGTGAATTTGTACAGGTTTCATCCCTTCACTGATAAAATAACAGACAACAGAAGGCTGCTCCTCTTTGGTGCATGTCAGAATTGGGGTGGCCATCTTTAAACTGTCATTATGATGTTACAGTGTTTATCTGCCCTATAGTAGCATGTGGTTAGCATTCTTGACATCCTTAACTCTTTGAGTCCCAGGGGGTTTAGCATCACAGGCCCAGGGGGTAGTAATGAGAGTCATAAAATCGGCGCATCATGCGTTCATTGGGCTTTAGGTTGAACCCTATGAACGTATGATGCGTTCCTTGGGACTCAAAGAGTTAACAACAAATATTGACAGTTTACAAGACAGTAACATGGTTACTGTAATTTATATCACACTGTTACGGTTTTCATTTGAAACATCAGAGAAACAATGCAGTATAGAAATAAATCATCTGGTGCGCACACACATGCGAAAGCATTCCTAATGTGTGGTTCTGTTATAAGGTTAAACATGACAGTTATTTCTACTGTCTATCACAAAGAGAAAAAGATAGATAGGAGGAGTAAAAGAGACAATACAGGACAATATGATGTTAACACAAGATACGCAACTAGCAAAAGACAGGAACCTATATATAACTCCTCTCTACAACACTTTATAGCATATACAGTATGGTAAAAAAAAGAAGATCACGCAGAGCTATGATTTTCAAGCATAGAGTGTGAGAAGATATCTCAGAGTGTAGCATTACATTTTATTGTTAATGATGAGCAGCCAACCAAATTGTTGAAATGATGTGCTCTGGGACAGGAAACCCAGGTTCAATTCCTAGGTAAGGTTCAGAGTCGAGCCAATGACCTGCGGATCCATAGGCGAGCAACTAGCCACTACACCATGGTGACTCTCTCCCTGTGATGTAAAGATTTGTAAATAATTGGTCCAGCCTAACATGAGTGCCAGGAAATGGCCTGCGGAAAAATAGCATCCTAGGGAAACAACTGTGGTAGGCAAAATATTTACCTTATCACTGTTAAGTAGCAGATACTCTTCAAAAATATCCACTTAGCACCATATTCCAAATGTACTTCAAATAAAAAAGACATTCACATTATTCATTATAAAATTAGTGACATATTTTATATGTTTATGAGGTGTACTTGAATCATATGTATTTCAATAATTCACAGAAGTATAATTGTGTAAAGTGTGTAGTATGTCTGTCTGTGGGTGGGAGTGGTCGTTTCTGTATGTGTGGGAGTGGGTGTGGTGTATGGTTTTTTCATTATTATATATGTGATTGTAGAATACAGTGGTTCAGGTTGCCTAACTATGTTACCATGTTTGTTCACCAGGTGTCTAGCCTGTCCTTACTAAGAGATGCATACGCCACTGAATATTTCTCTCATCCAACGAGACCAACACCAATCCCACTAAGATGGCTGCCACCAGAAGCCATTAAAGATGGCGAATTTTCTCTTCACACAGACATCTGGTCTTTTGGCATTTTTGTATGGGAAGTTTTCCATTTGTGTGACTTGCCCTATCGCCTGCACAGCGATGATGAAATCTTTAAGTCAATGTGCGGAAATGGTGCAGCCGCTAACTCACTACCACGGTTAGACTTTGCTGAATACTGCCCAACCCCAGTTATGGATCTTGTGATGCAGTGCTGCACCATGCCGGCTTCTAGCAGACCAGTATTTTCAGACCTGGCAGTGAGGCTAGGTCAGTTATTGACTAATGGTGAAAGTGTCTGATGTAAGAAGTAACACTATCATCAGATTCAAGGGACAACACTCTCATCTGATGCAAGGGACAACACTCTTATATGATGCAAGGGACATCACTCTCATCTGTTGCAAGCGGAACACTCTCATCTGTTGCAAAGGAAAGCATCTTCATCAACAGTCCAGACACTAAAATCAGGGGAACAGTGAACATTTTCTCTATGCTGAATGAATACTGATTATCATTTGGACACATTTTATCAGTTGAATCAGTCATGAATGTTTAGCAAGAAAAGACTTGACCAATCCTCTGGGCTGTCAGAAATAAAAAAAACTGCACTAACAGCTTTGCTATGGAAAAGACTCGCATAAGTTGAAGAACTCAATTCATGATTATAAATCAAAGGTTGAATTCGTGATTTATAATCCACAGTGAATTCAGTTATAAATACATGACAGTTTATAATTTATTATTTAAACAATTGTACATTTAATAAATGCTAGTTTTTGTTTTTTATGTATTGTGAAGTGTATCTTCACAAATAAGATGTGTTTGGTGCAATTGTTATCACTTTTCATTTTCAGAAAGAAAAAACATACTTACATTACGTTTATTTTCAAAGCCTTTATTCGTTTATGCAAAAGCACTTCTGGTAGTTTTTGTCTTTGTATAAATCACGCAGTTAACAAGAAAACTCGTTTATGTTAAAATTAATGGATTTTGAGGTGTGCCGTTGGACAGGAAGTCTAAAAACCAACCAAGCTGCTTGCTGACATACCACAACCACACTTGCAATATATATGTGTATTTATAAAGTGTTGCATTTATATTAGTGGTTTTATCATTTACACTTGTTCTGACAGCTGTTTTTTTATGGCATCATATATGTGTTTGACATATGCAATAAGTTTACGTATTTCAATACCATCTGACTATGCAGACGTTCATGTTTACTTATACTGGCAATAGGCTTTATAGCAAAACATTTGTACTGAAATTTCAGATTACTTTTTACATTTGATGATTTTACATATCTTAATGGTTGAAGTCTTAGTGATGTATTAGTAAGTCTGTCTGCTTATCAACATAGTCGTATTGGGACACGGTCTCTAACAGTCACATATATGGATTCAGTCTCTAATAGTTACTGGATTGGATCTAATCTCTAACAGTCACAGGATTGGATTTATCTGGAACTGACCAACATATTGTTTCATCAAAGCGGTGCATAGATGGGTACACATTTCTACCCAGCAGTGTACATATTTTAAACTAAAATTCGCAATTCAGTTGTTATGCTTACCCACTAATCGAAATACTTACTGTAACTACTGGTATCTTATGTCTTTTATTACTCGGCCTGGTCGACATGTGGGTTTCAGGACTCCATTGTGGGGGAGAAAAGAATAGACCCACTGTCTCCTTAATATGTATGTTGTTAAGACAATAATTAGGGCCTGTATTACCCGAAGTCTGGGTGCGTCGCCTAAGTATGAGGAACCAACAGTCTGCATACAATTAGGCCAGATCTGTCAAATGAATTTGCACACAAAATTCAGGTTGGGGAAAAAGTCTGAAGTCAAGAAGTGGATGAACAACCAGAACTTCCCACCAGAGTTTACAGCTGGTGAATGCTAAGAAGAAGAAGATGTTGGCTACTTTAGATCCTCATATTTATTACTGAAGATAATCACCAGATAAGTTCTGACGGAAAGTCCTGGCTGTTCATCCATTTGGACTTCGGCTATGTCCCTGGGCCTGAGTTTTGTGTGTACATCCTTTTTACCGGCTTACTTGTTTGCAGTTGGTTGTTTCTTGGACAGATGCTCTCCGACTTTGAAGAAAGCCCCAATTAGTCAACTCCTGTGACATGCTTGTTGAGAAAGCAGTGGGTCTGTTCTTGTTTTCCCCCTCAATGGGGTCATGAAACCCACACAGGGATAACCTTGTTTTAAACAAACTGAAACTCATTAAGTTCCTTCAAGATGAGACACTGCCGCACGAAATAAAGCTACAAAGATAACGTCACTGGCTCCACTCTAATGTCTGCCATCCTGAAAAGAGTTATCACCTCAGCCACATCATCAAAGTCTGCAGTTGCAACGTGACATTTCACAGCTTTTAATTTTTTAATTTATTCATAATCATCATCATCATGTACCATACTGAAAAGTATACAAAATCATAACCATCTTATCAAAGTATTATGTTTTACTTATGATACAATACTGTATTTTATATTCTATTAGTACATATTATTATTTACATATTGAGTAATTAAAAAGCATTATTGCAACGTATAATGCTTAGTGTAAATTGGATTAATTTACTATCTGCTTGGAATTAAAAGAGGTAATAATAATGTTGCTTCCAGTGCTTCTTAGCTTGGAGGGACTACTGGACCCACCTCATAAAATATGTACCAGATTTTTGTGTTTCTGGGAATGAAAGATTGAAAACAAGGGACATAATTACATCATATTATTATTTCATGGCTAATGTATATGATAAACTAACACTATAAAACCTGACACCAGTGTCTGCATTAGGAATACATATATTGTAAAATATCTAGTTTGTGTGTACGTTGTATGTATTGCACTTAGCTTTATTTCAAAGTTACCTGTGCTGCTTGTGTTATTGTACAAACGGTAATAAATAAAGGATTTGATTGAAATCTGTTGGACTTTTCAGTATTTAGTACTTTTCAGTGTCTCCAATATTTTTTAGTCCATCTTCTGCATGGTTGACATCTGGGTCTGTAACTGTTGTATCTGTATAATATTGCTGGCTGTGGTGCCGTGTCTGACCTCACTCTTGTTACATGGCCAAACCATTTGATCTGTTGTCTAGCGATAAAGTTCAGTATTGGTTTTGTGCTCACTCTGCTACTTATATCATTTCTAAGTTGATATTTATTTCTTACATCTAGCATGATACGTAAATATGTTATTTCTACTGCGACTATTTTTCTTTTATCTTCTAAAGACAGTACCCATGTTTGGCACTCTTACCAACACTATGATATAAATATAAAACCTGGACACTGTCTTCAGAAAACAGAAGTAAAATATATAGCATATCAAGCAAGTTGTAACAAGGAAAAATAGCCTTAGGAGCGATGATGTCAAGAGAGTTGGCATAGAACAATACTTAACTTTATCTATAGACAAAAGATCAAATAACTTGGCCATGCAAAAAGACTGGCAACAGACAGGGCACCACAGAGAGCAACATTATATGAATAAAGTGATAACCAAGCCAGGGGTTGACCATGCAGAAGATGGACCATGGAAATATCACAAACACTGAAAAGTATTATATATGAAATAAACAGAAAGGACTGTTTTGGAGGATTCTTCCTGTCCTTATGCTGCAAGGCATTCCATGAGCAGAGTAAAATATGAAATCTACTGAACATTGTAAACTTATGTAGGTACAGACTGAATCATCAGGTAAGGAAAATCTGCTGCTCATTGACAGAATCATCATCATCCTTCTGTGCTATTCTAAGTCCCACAGGGCTCACAGTTTTTTCTTTCATTCCAATATATCCAGTGTAATTGATTCAGTATCATGGATAGAATCTAGTCCAGCACCTTTGACCTCTCTCATCCACGTTTATCTTAGTGTTTCTCTTTAGTATCCTTGTCTCTGCATTCTGTTTGTTTCCTATTTCACCCTTAATCTGTTTGTTTCCTATTTAACTACCTATCTAGTGATTCTCTTTTCGCTTTTTCTTGGGATTTGCCCAGTATATAATTGTTGATTGTCAGAACATTTCTCTTATTTCTTCGCCTTTCTTGAACTCATCCCATCTAATGTTCATTAATTTCCTTAGTCACTTCTATGAGTTCCTATAGCATTTTCCTGTTTGCTTAGGGGAAGTAACCACACACTAAACCCTCCCTTCTCACGTGGGCTCGGGTGTGGCAGTGGTGGAGATTGATAGAATACATGTAGTCAAAACTGGCAAGATTGACAGAATACATGTAAGATTGATAGGAAAGCCAAAGACATAAATACATGTATGTCTTAGTCATATGAATCAGGTTAAGACAAGAACTGACCTGACCCAACATTCTGGTGATCATGTGAGATGGTAAAACACGATCATCTAAGCTTTTGATAGGGTACTTGATGATGATGATGATTTAAAACTCTGTGATGAAGCAGGCACACCAGGAAGTTCCAGACCTTCAGAAGTGGTCTCATTTCATAAATATTTTGATCCATTATCAGTCACCCAGTTTCACAAGATTTCATGGCTGACTCCAAAGAGAAGGAAATAGCCACTAAGAAAACTCACAAGTCCATTAGTTTTGAAGAGCATAATACACAGTGGAAGTGGTTATGAGTTATGCCAGATTTTTGTGGTGTGCCCTGCCAAATTGTTAAATGTAAGAGAACATATGTGTTAACCATAGTGTACAAGAGAGGGCCATTCACAATTAACAAGATTCTTGTGACTGCCAAATAAAAATAATTTTTTTTTAAAAATTGCAATTACTTCCTGTATTGATCATTTTTGGGGATGTAAGGCAGAGGACTATGAGCTTGAGGATTTAGGTCGGCACAGCTGTGCAGTGGCCATGGACTGTGTGGGTTAGGATTTTTAATTTTTGCACTCACAGAAAAAGCCCATAACCTTTTGTGAGGATTTGAACCTGAGTCTCTCACATGAGACGCCAATGTTCATATCTGGTCGGCCAGCCACTACTGCTAGTTTCTTATGTCTAAAAGAGTAAATGTCTTCATTAACATAACAATAAGCTGAAGAAAGGAATCAATACAGAAGGGAGTTTCATCCTGCACTCACAATTGTTTCAAAGACAATCTCTCAGAACATAACTACGATCTGTGTCTTCATTTTCTAAGAGCAGAATCAGTACAGAAGTCACTGATAATTGTTTCAAAGACAGTCTCTCAGAGCATAACTACAATCTGTGTCTTCATTTTCTAAGAGTACAATCAATACAGAAGTCACTGATAATTGTTTCAAAGACAATCTCTCAGAACATATGCCATG